CCATGTGTGCTCGCTCATTGGGTGGCCTAAGGTTTCCTGCAACATCGGTTGAATCAGCGGCAGATTTAGGCCCTATAGGTAGTTTCACAGTTCTCATTCCTTTCTCCCACCAGATAAATGGCTTCCATTTGTCCAACCAGGCTAGCCCTAGGATCACAATCTGTCATTTTTGGAACCACCAGGAAGCGAATAAACTCCCAGTGCGCACCTATTTCTAGGCATAAGGGCTCAGTTACTTGTGTGACAAGAGTCCCTCCCATCAGGGAGCCATCGGCTTGCTCAAACCTCACAGGTTTGCAAAGCTGTTTTGCCTGTATGCCCATTTTCATGGCAAATGGCAGACTAATAATGCAGCGGGTGCATCCAGAATCAATTAGCATGTTTAAGTTCATTTGTGCCTCAGACTTAGGGATTATAAGTTTGGCGGCCAGTGAAAAGCAGGATTTGTCGACTCACCATCAGGTTGTTCTCTCCTTCATCGTCGCTGTCAAAGGAGGGTAGAGCAGGGGTGGGTCCACCCGGAGTATAATCTGGGCGACAGGTTCTTGCGTGACCTGGTTGTATTTTTCTCTCATTAGCCGCTGAGCAGGTTTCCTTCTCGTCGCTGGTTCCGGTCTGCCCTGCAGTCGGGGGTAGGGGACTGGACAGGTTGCCGCTCGATGTCCCTCTTGTCCACAACAAAAACACTTATTTGACAGGACTGTAGGTGGTCTGGGTCTCTCAGTCATTGCAGTAGTTGGAGGTTTTCGTGGGGGTGATTGCTGTCCGGGTTGTTCTGGTGGCTGCTCAGATTCAGGTGGGGGAGGCTTATAGCGGGTGAGCTGAACGTCTAGCTTCACTGCTGCCTGGTACCATTCTTGCAGCTGATCAGGTACGGCTTGATAAATGCAGGCCTGAGAGAGGTGATCGTCTAATCCAGCGGTTCTCAACCTGTGGGTCGCGACCCTTTTGGGGGTCGCACGAGCCTTTCACAGGGTTGCCTAAGACCATCGGAAAATACATATTTCCAATGGTCTTAGGCAGGGCTTGTCAACCGCCTTCTTTCCCTCCCCCCCTCCGCTGCACCTCACTTGTTTGTGGAAAATATGCTGCTTGGCGGTAGTGTGCACGAAGTCTACCAAATGTGCCCTGCAGGGGACACATGAAGAGCGCAGGCGCAGAGTAAGGCCCCGCCCTGCCCAGGGACTCATTGTGCAGCAACCGGATTAACTTCTCGTGCACGCAGGTCAGCGAAGGGGAGGCTGCCGCAGCGCTGAACTGCACCCGTCAGCTGGCGACCTCGAACTTGCGCTTCTCAGCCTGGAGGTCTGGCGACGGCCGCCAATCTCCTTTGCCACCCCGCCCATCCTCGACTCCTCCACCCGTTCATGTCGAGCCCTCCGGGGCTTGACAGGGAGAGAGGGAGGGAAGAAGGAAGGGACTCCTCCTCATCTCCTTACCTTCAAAGCTTCCCAAAGGCGCCACAATCCTCACGAAAGTGGGGGGGGGAAGAAGCAAAGGGGGCGAGAAAGCTCCCGGCAGGCTTGAAGGAGCACCTGTCAGCATTGGTGATGAGAAATTCCCCACAAACCCAGGGAAGGGATGGAGAAAAGGAGCCCCCTTTGGGATGAAACTGCCACCTTCTTCTCCTTGGCTTTGTGCTCTTCTGTTCCTCGGCAGCCGGGCTGGCAAGCCTCTCCTGGCTGGAACTTCCTTTCCTTCCCTCCCTCTTGGTTTCTTCCTCCTTCCCTCCCTCTCTCCCCTTGTCCTTTCCTTCCTTTCCTTCGCCTCCCTCTTTGTCCCTCCTTCCCTCCCTCTCCCCCTTGTCCCTTCCTTCCTTCCTTCCTCCCTCCCTTCCTTCCTTCCTTCCTCCCTTCCTCTTTGTTCCTCCTTTCCTCCCTCTTTCCCCTTCTTCCTTCCTTCCTTCCTTCCCTCTTGTCCAGGATCGGGGCGAGCCTCTACAGCTGATCTGTGCTTCTGCAGCTGTAGCTGCTCTCCTTGGCTCCTGCCCAGCAAACTTGCTCAAGCCAGCTAATTTAGCAGAAGTGCGAATCAGCTGTAGCCAGGCGCTGATCCTGGAGCTTCTGCTAACTAAGCAAGCGGCATGTCTTTCAGCGAAGCTGAGCAAGTGAGCTGGGCGAGCTCTCCTCTGTCTCTGTGCACAGGCAGGTTTGCCGGCAGTAAAGCCCCCAGCCACACTTACAGCCTATCCCCCTCCCCTTGTCCCTTCCTGGGCACGGGGGGGGGAGGAAGGAAGGGACGAAGAGGGAGGGAAGTAAAGAACAAAGAGAGGGAAGAAAGGAAGGAACAAAGAGGAAAGGAAGGAAGGAGGGAAGGAAGGAAGGGACAATGGGAGAGGGTGGGAAGGAGGAAGAGACTAAGAAGGTGAAGAAAAGGAAGGAAAGAAGGAAGGAAGGGACAATGGGAGAGGGAGGGAAAGAGGAAGACTAAGAAGAAGGGGAAGGAAAGGAAGGAAAGAAGGAAGGAAGGGACAGTGGGAGAGAGGGAGGGAAGGAGGGAAGGAGGAAGAGACTAAGCAGGAGGTGAAGGAAAGGGAGGAAGGAAGGGAGGGAAGGAAGGGACAATGAGAGGGAGGGAAGGAAGAAGAGACTAAGCAGGAGGTGAAGGAAAGGAAGGAAAGAAGGAAGGAAGGGACAATGGGAGAGGGTGGGAAGGAGGAAGAGACTATGAAGGAGGTGAAGGAAAGGAAGAAAAGAAGGAAGGGACAAGGGGCGGGAAGGAAGGCAGGCACCCATCCCAGAGACCCACAGATTCCCCCCCACAGGCACTCTGCAACCTGAGTGATCAGCTGGCCATGACCCCTGGCAATTGATCACGTGACCCTGGGACACTGTGAACGTTGTAAGTATGAATCAATTGTCAAACACCCGAATGTAAATCACATGACCCTGGGGATGCTGCAACAATTGTTAAGTGTGAAAAATGATCATAATTCGCTTTTTCAGTGCTGTTGTAACTTCAAACAGTCACTAAGAGAATTGTTGTAAGTCGAGGACTACCTATACTTTCCCATTTTTTCCTTTTTTTTTTCCTGGTCAAGTTTTTGATACCCCCCAGCCAGCTGGATGGGTGGTTGGGCGTCACCACATGAGGAACCGTATTAAAGGGTTGCAGCATTAGGAAGTTTGAGAACCACTGGTCTAATCCCTCAATGAAGTGATGGATTAGGGATTGTTCAGGCCACCCCTCTATTCAACCTGCTATCTTGTGAAAATCCCGCATGTACTCCAGGGCAGGCCTGCCGGCTTGTTTTATTTTGTGGATCTATTCTCTTGCTTTAAGACCAATAGATGGATCCTCAAATCTTTCCCTCAGCCCTAGGAGGAAGAGGTGGGGGTCCTCCAATTCAGGGCTCACTCATTATATAAATTGTTCAGCCATTCAGATACTTCTCCCTCTAGGCTGGACGCAATTACATTGACCATGGCCCCAGGTCCGGGTAGAGATAGGCCCAGCAATCCAAATGAGAACGCACTTGGTTGAGGAAAAAAACCAGCTTCTCTGAGTCCCCATCTAAGGTTGCTGTTGGGGCCCCCACTGTGGCTGTTGCTGCTGGCCCCATCCTGGCTGCAGATTTATGCCCAAGGGTTGCACGTTCAGGGGCTGTGGCCAATCTCCCTGTTGTGGTCGGTCTCCCACCAGCTGCTGATCTCCTGGCTTCTGCACCACCCCAAGCTGTTGCAAGGCCTCTATTAGCTGTGGCAAGCTCAGAAATCGCTGACCATCCATCTGCTGGGGAACCCAATCTACCCATTGTTGCAGAAGCCTCAGACTGGATTTTCCTCTCTCTTCAGGGTTGGGGTCCCTGGCAGGGGAAGACAGTGTCTGACAGGCTTTCTGATGTGCAATGGGAGGGGTATAGGGTCCTCTCTCCAGGAATTGATTTCTGCTTTTCACCTCTGGGTTTTGAAATCTTTCCAGCGACTCACCCAAAACCTCGTCATCTCTCCATTCTGCTTTTGAAGTCATTGCTCCCATTTGGGAGATCTGCCAGAGTTCTTTCTCCCCCAGCTGGCTGGCTGCCGCTCCACTCCCTGGGGAAGCTGCTGCTGCTGCTGTCGTTCCCCTCCCTGGGGAAGCTGCTGCTGCTGAAGTGCTGGCCTCAAGCCATCTTTCTCCTTCCATAATGAGATCTTCCCCAAATCTTTCAGTCTATCCCCTTTAGATTAGGAATAGTGACCGAGGTCCGGGACCTCTTAATTGGTTTAAAAAAATTATGGATCTTGGCTTGATGTCATGTGTCTGACTAATGAAACACTTCAAAGAACTTTCAGGCATGGTTTAACCTAAAAAGCCTTTATTACTGTAGAGGAGTGTCAGCACGGCATGGAGAATGCCAAGATCTGAATTTCCCTTCCTTTGCACATAACATTCCAGGCATTTCCCCTCCCCTATTTTGGGGTCATGATTCACATCTACCAATTAACCTGGAGGGCAAAGATTCACTTCCGTTCCCTTCCTCAGGCTTTTCTCTCCTCTCTTTCTCATCTGAATTAATTCTAAAAGTACCAGACAGTTCTGCATATTTTGTCAAAGCAAGAATATTCTGCACCACCCCAAGCTGTTGCAAGGCCTCTATGTAGTGTAATTGTTTTAAGGATGCTAATAAGCTGCAGAGCTATAGAAACTATTTTTTTGAAATTAAAAATAATTTCACAGGTTATTTTAAGTTTTCCTCTTTAAAATACCACAATTATGCTGAATTCTCTTAAGATGTGATTGAAATGTAAGATCTACTCTATACATTTATATATAAAAGCACATCTTGAAAGCAATGTTGATATCAGTCTATTATATTGTAGTAGTTTGTATATTTGGCTTTGAAATAATCAATTTTTTTCTTTACAGTTACAGAAAGAGGCATTATGATGACTGTTCTCAATCTTACCAATTCCTGTTTATGATGGAACGATCTAAGTCTGACTTCATTTGAAGGTTGATCCTAGAGACAGGTAGTCTAAAAATTGGAGAAACCTTTTAATGTTTTAACTCTTTTCCAGACTTTCCACTGTAATTACCCTCGAAAAACATCATTCACAAAGTTGGATCCCAGCTGTACTATTGGGTTCTATGTACGTCACAGAATGGAATTTGAACATCTCTGCTTGGACTTAACTCGGGTGAGAATTGTATATTTCTGGGTTCACTTACAAACTATGCTCTGAATTATAGTATGTTTGCTGCTCTGGATTAAAGAGAGAACTTGACAGAAATTTGGGAAAACAAATACAAAGCGTTTATTTGCAGAATTTGAAACTGGAAACTTGGGATGCAAGTTTTTAAAAAGAGGCTTGTGCTTTAAAGGAGGCTACTAGCATTTTACCCACTGTGTTTAAGATTATTTAGAACTAGAAAAATGGAAGCTTCCATCATAAATTGTGAGTTCTGAATAATTCTTATAAGCCATTATAAAAGGACTGCTACTTCTGTCAGAAATGGAGCAAAATCCAGGCCTAATAAAAATTAAGGCCAAGCCTGCTTGTCTGAATTTTATAGCAAGTAAATGAATTGTGCCAGTTCATTATTCTTCATTCCCACTGCAGATCCTAAACTATGCAGCTACCAAAGAAAAATATCCCATGTTCTCGGTTGTGGAGGGCTGCGCTCAAGAATATGGTTTGGAAGAGCTGTGTGCCCATTTTGCCCAGCAAACTGTGCAAGTCCAACGGCATAGTAAACGGGACAGGATAAAGAAGCCCTCAGCTGAGGAATTTGTCATCTTATGATTGCTGGCTAGGCAGACCCACCACCTCAGACTTATTTATTATTTATATAGAGAATGTAGGCTTGAAATAGACTTGCGTTTCTTAAGTCCAAAAAAGAAATCTGGGACAAAGCAGTTGTCTCTGCTGCTCTGACCTGTAGTACCTCAGAAGTTCCTTATGGCAGACACTGCAAAAAAATTACCTTGGGGTCCCTAAACCCGTACGGGGACCTATTCTCACTTCTAGGCTACTAACATAAGGTCATGACACTGGAATAAACCTGCTGAATATAAAAAAAGGACATTTAGTACTAAAATGATAGTCTTGACCTTTTTTTGAGTACAAAGGAAACAATCAGATGAGGATCATTAAGGAGACTAGCTTCAGATTTGTCTTTCCTGGTGACACTGACAGCTGAAAACAAGAACTTTCTTTTCATCAGTGTTAGACTTGTTTTATAGGCCTTTAAAAAGAAGATAAAAAGAATAGTAAAGTCTCTCTTTAAGTTGCGTTTTCGTACATATGGAGGGAAGACCCTATGTTAATTCCAGTAAAGGCCGAGGATTTCTTCAGCCATTCATTGAGCAACAGAATTGGAGAAAACAGGCATAAAACTGAAGGTCTATTAATGTCTTCTTTGGCTTGAATAAACAATATTGTCATAACAAAAAGAACTGAAGGGCTTGCTCTCCCATGGAGGGAGAGAAATATTTCAAGTGGGAATCAGGTAAAATGTATTTGGTAGACTCAGCCTCTCAGGGCCTTGCACATTGGTTGGATATTCTGTTACAAAAGGCTATTGGTCATCAATGTTTTACTTCATGCCAGATATATTTCAGTTTTCTCCACCTTCACCCAGTACTATTTTCAGAGCTCTTTCTCTTCCTCATGACATTTTTCCACTTGCAAATAGATTAACAATTTTGGCAGTTGGACATTTTACATGCCTTCTGTCTTTTATAAGTAATGGCTTTTCTTAATTTAGGTGTGGGTGCAGGAACAGGAAGTCAGACTTGTCCTGTAACATGCTGTTGGCACTTTACAAGTTTACTGCAAAGAGATTCCTCCCTTCAAAGGCACACTCCCTCTTTTAGTCAATAAATGTTCTCTCTGAAAATTTGCATATTTGTGTGTGCGTATTTGGGAACTAATGCTGTGTGCGTATTTGGGAACTAATGCTGTGGTCTTTTCTACAATAATTAATTTGAGATAGTTATGCCATTGATTCAAGGTATTCCATAAATACACGAGGAACCAGTTCTTTTCCTATTCCAGATCCTTCAGAAATATCCACAAAAGCATTTTCTGCACCAGACTGCTTATAGAAGAAAACAGGTTGTTAACCATCATTCTCACTAAAGGATACTGTAGTTAACAAATTGCAGCTAGAACCAATCACTTGTAGAATGGTGTTTTATTGTTGAGTTGCTAAGTCATACCTGATCCACTGCAACTTTATGAACTACAGCTCATCATGCCCTCGTCCTCCACTGTCTTCCAGAGTCTGCCCAAACCCATGCACACCACATCAATGACAATTTCATCCTCTGCCATCCTCTTCAATCTTTATCAACATCAGAGTCTTTTCCAATGAGTCCTCTCTTTGGTGGCCAGAATATTTGAACTTGAGCTTTAGTGTCAGGTCCCCAAATCCTTATTGTTTTCCCTGTATATGTATTGTTTGGGGCCTGCCATTCTGCTGGGGGGAGGATTTGCTTTCTATTTGCTTTTCTACTTTTCCTCTTCTGCCTCTATCCACTTGAGAAAAGAATGTGTCTCCCTTATCAGGGAGAGTTACAGAGAAATGAAACTGGAGACCTTGAGATGTGCACCAACTGTGTCAGTTATCCAGACATCATGCCACCTGTGGATTGGCTGGATTTCAAATGGACACTATGTCTTTGATGGGAGGAGGAAGATTGCTGTTTAAGCGGGATTTTCTCCAGATCTTGCCTTGACTTCCCTGTCACTAACCCCTAATAAAAGTTCCTTTTGAGACAATGCCTGTTTCAAGAGTTCTGCTTTCTTGGGTGGTTAGCTGAGATGGGTCCTTAAATTTAGTATCTGTCCTTCCAAAGAACAGTCAGGATTGATTTCCTTTAGGATTGACTGATTTGATTGCCTTGCAGTTCAGAAGACTCTCAAGAGCTACTCCATTTCTTCTAAGGGATTCTTGCTCACAGTAATATACAGTATATAATGGTTATCTAAATTAAATTTGCCCATTCCCCTAGTTCATCAGTTCCCAAGATGTCAATGTTCAATATTGCCATCTTATGTTTGAGCACATTCAGCTTTCCTTGATTCATAGATCTTACATTCCAGGTTCCTATGCAATATTGTTTTTTATAACATTAGACTTTACTTTCACCACCAGACACATTCACAGCTGAGCATCGTTTTGGCTTTGGCCCACTCTCTCTAGGTGAATTGTAATTTGTAATTCTTCCCCAGTAGCACATTGGACACCTTCAGACCTGAGGGACTCATCTTCTGGCATATCTTTTAGCCTTTTGATACCATCCATGGCAAGGATACTGGAGTGGGCTGCCATTTCCTTCTACAGTGAACCATGTTTTGTCAGAGCTCTTCACTATGACCTGCCCATCCTGAGTGACCCAGCATGGCTTAGCTCATAGCTACTTTGATCTACGCAAGCCTCTTTGTCAAAAGGCAATGATCGCATCTATCCCCAATGGAATCCCATGCCACATTTTTGACACTGTTTGGAATAGCAATAGTAATAGTACTTAGGCTTATATACTGCCCATAGTACTTTACAGCACTTTTTGGATGGTTTACAATGTCAGCATATTGCCCCCAACAATCTAGGTCCTCATTTTACCAACCTCGGAAGGATGGAAGGATGAGTAAGCCTTGAGCCCTGTCAGGCTCACACTCCAGGCTGTGGGCAGAGTTTGCTTACAATGGTATATTTATCCACCAGGGCACTAGGAATCAGTTACTACTGGTGAATGAATGCAGTTTTACTACTGACTAGTCCTCAAAACCATAATAGAGCCTGTCCATGTGATTGACTCAATTTTATGACTTTTTGCAGCAGTCATAAAGTGACCACTGTTGTTAAGTTGAATCCATAGTTTACTATGGAATATTTTTGCTGAAAACCAGAAATAAATGCCAATTTTTGGCAAAAACATAAATTGTGATCATATAACTGTTCAAATGCACTCAAAATGTAATGGGACCACAGGGGAGGGGGTGGCCATTAGAACTTTGGAACTGGCTTGTAAATGGAGTGCGTTTTGATCGAAACTTTGAACAGTCATTAAGCAACCAGTCGTAAGTCAAGAACTACCTATACTTCTGCTTCTCTCCACACTTCTCACTGTAATATTTTCTACTATAAGCATGAAAGCATTTCTATGGCATGTTACCATGGACTTGGCAGAAGACAGTTCTTTATAGCAGTAATTCTTCCTTTCCATTGCTTTCTGGAAGATACACTTGCTTAATTCAGTTTCTTGGGAGACCTATGTCCTTGTCCTTTCCCTCTTTCTTCCATGAACTCAGTGATGTAAATCAAGAATGATTCAGGCTTAGACAGTAATTGGTCCTATTGTCTACCATAAACCAGACTATTTTGTTGTTATTCATCATATGTGCTACAATCCTGATGTAGCAGTCAAGCAGTTTTGCCAGTTCTCTCTATACTCAAAATATACTTAAATAGTCTGCTAGAGAAGCAAAACCTCTAAATCAGTGGTTCTCAACCTTTTTAATGCCACGACCTCCAACCGGTCGTAAGTTGAGGACTACTCAACCGGTCGTAAGTCGAGGACTACTCAACTGATGCAGCACCGTTTGCAGAATGGGACTTTTGGTGGGCTCAGCAGGGCAGAGACAGCCTGGACAATTCCTATTGGCTTTTGAAAGCCAATACAATTAGACTCTATTCAAGAGAGTCTATTCTGTTGGCTTTCAAAAGCCAATAGAATAAAAGGGAGTAGCACAGCTAAGGAAAAGGGGAAAAAAATGGCAGATTGCGTTGTTTGGCGACCCCCGTGAAATGGTCATTCGATCCCAAATGGGGTCCCGACCCACAGGTTGAGAACCACTGCTTTAAATGCTGGAATATGTGCTGACATGACTGAAAGGACCCACCCCACTTTGCATCTTAAGAAGACAGAACTCTTGGAATAATTCTTCCAACAGGCATCCTTTATTAAGAGAAAATGGTTGCAGGCGTTCTAGACAGGACTTGGGGTCCAAGCTCTCCCATTCGAGGTTTTAAGGGGTTCCCCAGTAGTCCCAGCCAATCACCCCCCTTTTCCAGCGACAGTTTCAGGCATTACAATCCCACCCCTTTTCCTTTCTGCCGGCTGGATGGAGACTTCAAAGAAAACTACATGAAAGGTAACAGCTCCATTCTTATGGTTAGCTCTTTTGGCAATACACACAATCAGTTCCTTTGAAGTGTACCGAAGGAAGTGAGGGCCATAAAGCCCCTTTGTTCACCCCCTCCCCTTCATCGTATGGCAGAATCCATAGAAGGCAGAAATGGGGTTTTTTTATAATTGATAACTAGAGATGAAATATAATTGGATTCTGACATCCTGCCCCTCAAAAATACGACAGATCCACCTGAAACAAAACAAAACAGGTATAAAAGTTAGGCTTGTTAGGGTATTCTGTGTGAAACTTCTTTAATAGCTTCGGGGCTCTGACATGATGTTTATGGACCCACTTGTTTTGTGAGGGAGGGAGATGTTTCCAGGCAACTAGGTACTGAGTCGCTCCATGATATCTCCTAGAGTCAAGAATTTCCTTTATTTCGAAGTGTTGTTCGCCCTCTACCATGATTGGACGTGGTGGAGGGGGATTTTTGGCCATAGAGGTGACTGACGCTCTCTTTTCAGCAAGCTGCATTGAAAAATTGGGTGTATTTGCCTGAGATTTTTGGGTAATTCTAATTCTACTGTTACTGGGTTTATGATTCTTTTAATTGGAAAAGGTCCTATATATTTTGGTCCAAGTTTTTTACAGGGCTGTAGGGACTTTAGGTATTTTGTAGATAAGTACACCATTTCTCCTATAATGAATGGTGTAGGCTCAACCCTTTTTTTATCGGCATGTGCTTTGTATGCCTGCCTAGCTTCATCTAGTGCTTTTCTAACTATTGGTCAGGTGTCTTGTAATTGTTCCATCCATTCTTTCAGTGATGGGATCGTTGGTTTGCTTGGGGTTAATTCTGGCATGGAGTTGAAACTTTGACCGTTGGCTATTTGAAAAGGAGTGTAACCTGTGCTGGAGTGGACTGCATTATTGTAGGCAACTTCTGCGAAAGGGAATAACTCCATCCAATTTGTTTGCCGAAAATTAATAAAACATCTTAAATATTGCTCAAGTACTAAATGGCAGCGTTCCGTTTGTCTATCCGACTGAGGGTGATGGCTAGATGTCAGTCCCTGAATGGCCCCTAAGAGGGATGAAAATTCCTTCCAAAATGCAGGCGTAAATTGCACTCCCCTATCAGAGATGATGCAGTGGGGTGCCCCATGCAATCTGTAAATGTGCTGGACGAAAAGTTTTGCTAAGGCTTTTGCGGTGGGAATCTTTTGGCAAGGGATAAAGTGCACCTGTTTGGAAAACAAGTCCGTGACTGTCCAGACAACAGTATTCCCATTGCTTTCTGGCAATTCCACTATAAAATCCAGTATAAAATCCATGGCTATTTCCCTCCAGGGGGCTGAGGGATTTGCCACTGTTTGTAATAGTCCTGGCGATTTCCCTTGCAACCTCTTTGCAGACGCACATTTTGAGCAGCTGGCAACATAACTTTCTATGTCCTTTTTTATTGATGGCCACCAAAATTGCTGTTTAATTAAGTGTAAAGTTTTTACAAATCCAAAATGCCCTGCTGATTTTGTGTCATGGCAAAGCTGCATGAAAGTGACTCTTTGGGTTGTTGGTACATATAATTTTCCCCTACCCAAGGCAACCCGTCTCTCATTGTGCACACATTTTTGTTTTTCTAGAACCATTCGTCTGTTTCCAAACTTTTTCTGAATTCAATTCCAGTTTGGCTGTCCAGTTGTGGTTTTAATTTAGCTTGGGTTCTTGTGGTTACTGGTGCTGCCAGTTGTGACTCTGCCATTATTGGTTTAGAGTCTGTGGTTCGTGCGCTGTTATATTGGGGCATGCGAGACCTGGAAGGGGATTTTGTTGCCTTCCAGGAACTGTCGCCACGTGAGTAATGCCCAACGTATCCCGTATGCCTCCTTTTCCCATACGGGCCAGCACTGTTCTGTTTCCGTGAGTTTCTTGGATGTATATGCACAGGGTTGCAATACTCCATCATCGTTTTCTTGTAATAGAACAGCCCCCACTGCCACATCACTTGCATCTGCCTGTATTACGAAGGGCTTATCCATGTCTGGGTGCCTTAGTACTGGTTCAGCAGAAAAAAGTCTCTTTAGTTTCTCAAACGCTGCTTGGCACTCCATTGTCCATGTTAGTGGCTGGCTAGGTTTTACTGAGGATGCTCCCTTCATTTTTAGTAAGTTAGTGAGGGGCAAGGCTATCTGGGCAAATGAGGGATGAATTGGCGGTAAAAGTTTGCAAAGCCCAGGAAACTTTGTAGTTGCTTTCTTGTGCGGGGTGGTGCCCAATCTAATACTGCTCTGACCTTCTCTGGGTCCATTTCAATGCCCTGGGGGGATATGTGATAACCTAGGTAGTCTATCCTTTCCTGGTGGAATTCGCATTTTGAGAGTTTGGCATATAGGTGGGCGGCTCGCAGTTTCTTTAAAACCGCTCTGACATGGTTGACTGTTCCTCTTTTGTTTCGGTGAAGATAAGAATGTCGTCCAAATAAACAAGGACCCCCTTAAACAGGTGCTCCCTTAGAACGTCATTGATTAATTGCATAAAGACTGCAGGGCCCCCATGTAATCCAAATGGCAAGACTCTGAATTGATAGCATCCCATGGGGCAGTTAAATGCAGTCTTCCATTTGTCTCCTTCCTTAATTCCAGAAT